CTCCACATACATACGGAGACACTAACAAAACCGTATTTTCTGGGAGGGCAGGGAACTTTGGAAGAAGCCCTTTTCCTAGCCAGTGGCTTAAGCTGGTGTCCGCTGATGCAGTGAGAGGGCTGGAGGCACCTTTGGAGGAGCCTAAATGCTCAAGGACAGGGCCAGGAGGGAACCAGGGCAGGATGCGGTATTCGAACACCGCTGTGAGTACACCTGCAGCCCGGATGCCTGGAAAGTTCTGGACTTGGAAAATGGCTGGGGATTTGGGAATTTCTTTGCACCCAATCAATAGCTCATTTTCTGGAAGGAAATTCTCCTTTCTGACTGCAGATGTACTGCAGGATTAATTTCCTACTAAAAAGCAGAAACAGGGTCCTCTCACTCAGCTGGGACACAGTGAGAGTGGTGACAGTCTCCTGTCTCTGCCCACAGCCCCCCTTAGCCTAGCGCAGCCAGGGGGTGGGGTGGGGGTTACACTGTGGAGTAGCCACTACCACGGGAGAGTTGTGGTACCCACGGACACTTCCCCCTTGTCCCCCAAAGGCTGTGTATAATCCACAGCAAACAGAAGGCACAAAGGCCCCCCCACATTCGAAGAATCGTCAGCTTTGTGGGTCAGCCACAGTCCCGGGAGCAGTGGTCCTATAGGTGTGGTCCCCAGACCGGCACCATCAGTATCACCTGGGAACCTGTTAGAAATGCAAATTCTTGCCCTGCCCCTTCACAGCTGCCTGGTGGGAAACTGATGGGAGTGGGATCAGCCAGCTGGGATTTAATGAGCCCTCCCGGTGATTCTGATGTCTGAGAAGATTTGAGAAGTGCAGCCCCAGTGCGGTGCCGGCTGGGAGAGAAACCAGTTTGATGGGATGGGCAGGACTCCTTTCCCCGAGTGACAGGAGGCTGGCAGGAGGCTGCCTCTGGGGACTGACCAGGCCCAAACTCCAGCCAGGCTCCTCTGAGTCCTCTGCTCATCTGATTAGCCCTCAGCCTTGGCCTGAAGACCTGAGCCAACCTGAACGTCGTTTCTGACAGGCCAAGCCCACAACCCCAGGAGGCCCCCAGCCCCGCTTACAGAGCCTGCCTGAGAAATTGCACCGATGCCAGAAGAATTTACTATTTCGTGCCAGCCAACACCTGAAGGAAGGTAGGTCCCTGTCTCCTTGCCTCTGTGGGATGGTAGGAACCTAACTTTGGTAAGAGCTCGCTAGCAAACCTAGGTAGGTTTCACGTGCACCAATCCCACCTTCCTTCTGTCTGTAATATTTCACTCCCCTGACCTCGGAGCCCGTACTCGCCCCCTCTGCAAACCTTCACTCTCTCTTTAAAACACCCAGTCACCTCTGTACAAATGGAAGTTTTCTGTTCCTCGCTGCCATAGTGGGATGGGGGGAAAATCTGTGCTCAGCACTCGAACTAGTGTCCCGCCTTGTTGATCTTAGGACATTCACATTTGTGTGGAGGCCATTCCCTCTTCTCTTCTCCATGGAAGTGAACGCTTGACTAGTTCTGCTCCAAGACAAGGGGGAGGGGCAGGAAGGCCAAAGAGGTTTGTTTTTTTTTTAAAGACGGTAGTATCTGCGAGAAGGGGGGCGGGGCAACACTTTATTTCCCAGTTGCGTGATTGCTCAGAGTAGGCTTGCTCCAGGAGATGCGGAGAGACCTCAGTGGGAAAGATGACAGTATAGCACAGCCAGGAAGATAAGGGGAAAGGATGGTTACCACCCATATGTTGCCGGCAACCGGTGTTCCAAGTGCTTGTCCCGTCCCAGGAGGAATTCAGAGACAAGACGCAGAGGTTAAAGAAGTAAAGTGAGGATTTATTAAAGGATGGATAGTACACTCTCAGGGGAGAGCGGGCAGGCTCAGGTGGGTGGCTGCCCTGAGTTTCTTTGGCAAGTTAGCTACATAGGGTGTAAAAATGAGTGGGCGGAATACTCATTGGGGAGGGAAGGGGTTGGGGTCGTATTCCCTGATTATCATCCCAACTCCTCCTTCCCGACGGGAGGAGGGATTTTTTGTCCTTATTTAGTCTGGATCGGAAGTGTCATGGCGTCGGTGCCTGATGGGTACTTCTGATCTGCAAGGCTAATTTTATCAAAATGAGGGCATAATGAGCAAAAGGTTACATTCGGACACTGGAAATTCCTGCCTTTTCTCACCTTTCTTTGTTCTTCTCCAGGCCACTCATCACCCCAAAAGGCATGATCCCTTATCAGGCCCAAGGTTCCTGCTTTTCTTTCTCTGCCCAGGGTCCCCTGGTGCTGACATGATGTGTGGCTTCCTGCGTTTGGCCTGTGCCCCTCCTTTCTGCCCAATTCCTGCCATTTGGTCTGTGTCCCCCTTTCTCTGCTCGTATCTAGCTATCTGCTGCTCTAACACATAGACGCAGAAAATACCCCCTGCCCCTGTCCCCGGGCAGGGGGTGGGCAGAGGGCAGACGAGCTCAGGGCACTGGGCAAAGAGAGGTGGACCTCCAGCGCAACTGTGTGGAGGGACGGCTGGCAGCATGAACAGACATTACCAGTCTCCCAGGGCTGAGGCAGCTGTTGCAATCGTCTCTCACCTGCAGGAGCCTGTGGGGGCCACTGCCGGTCCACACCAAGCCTGCAGACCCTGAGCCAGGTCAGGGTAAACGGTCCAGGGAAAAGAGACCAAAACTACACCACAGCCAGTCACAGAAAGCGCCGTCTGCTCCACGTGTCTTTCTACCCTCACGCCAAAAAGCCTCGCGAACAGAAGGGGGCGGGGCGTGTGAGCAAGACGACCACGCCCCTCCCTCTAATCTTAAAGGTATAAATCAGGGAGGTAGAGATGTGACTCGAATCTGAGATTTTTTAATTCAAAATCGTTTCAAGTCTTAAGAAATGGAATGAAAGAGGTTTAATGACAGGGAGTGACTGAAAAGTTAGGGAATCAGGCGGAGCCGGCCTGAGCGGGGAGCCTGCCCCCTAGTGGCGATGGGTTAGAATTGACAGCTAATGAGAAGCCTCTCGCCTACTCCACCCCCACTTTTATTATCCCCACCCCCACCCCCGCCACCTACCGTTTTACAACTGGGGAATCTGTGGCTCTGAGAGTTAAATAACTCAGCCCAGGTGACGTCTACCAATGGCAGTGCTGAGATTGGTGCCCAGATGCTCCAGCCTCCAAGCCCCGGAAGATGGAAGTTTATCTGTGGCAGCCACGTGGGGGAGTCCTCATTGTGGGGTGGAAGGCTGGGTGACCCTAGGGTAACCCGCCTGATGAAGGATTTGCAAGGTTTGCTGGTTATTCTCTAGTTTAGGAAAATCTTCTGCTAACACTGTGGAGAGTAAGGGAGAAGGTTAGCTCTACTCACGCCTGGCTGGGAAGAGAAAATCAGGGAAGGTGGTGTGACAACCCAGATATGATCTGAGCCCTTTGCCCCAGCGGGTTTGACAGCCTAGGGGTTGGGAGAAGTGTATGGGTGTGCTGGGGAAACAGACCATTCTGGTCTAATGCTCCTGGCAGAAGCAGCCTTGTGGAAAGGGAGGGGCAGGATTCAAACCAGCCCTCCTCTTGCCCCCTCTCCCTTTAAACGCTACCACAGGGAACACTTAATCCTCAGTCCCACCCCAGGCCTGAGAATGACCCGGTCCCAGGGGAAAGCCAGGCCTCTGGGGCAAAGGCACTATCAGCAGGCTGACCTTGGTGGCTGTCAGTTGCCTCCGACTTGCACTTGCTAACACTGACCTGGCCTGTCCTTGGCTGAAAAGTTTTTGCATATCTGGTATTGCCTCTTGGACTCTGGCCTCTTAAACCCATGTCAAGGAAACGCAGCTCCAGATAGAATAATGTGGACTCCAGAAAATGGGCACTTGAGAAAGGTGTGCACAGGGGAGTGAGTGACCTGTGCAAAGTCTCACACTTTCTCTTGCCTCTGAGGTCTGAGGCTCCAGGCCCCAGGCTCTCCTCCTCTCCTGGTCACCTCTCTTCCATGTTCCTCGCTGTCTCCTCCTCCCTTTACCCCACCTCTTCTAAGGAAGGATTGGAAAAGTCCCTAGTGATTTTTCAACTAAGTAAACTGAGACTTTTCAGGACCCATTCTGGATCCTGTCTTCCCTCTACACTCTGTCGGTAAGCCCATCCTCTCTCATTCTAGGTACCTCTGCATACTCATAACACTTTGATTCTTAATGTCTAGCCCAGAACTCTAGTCTCATTTAACCACTTGCCTATTGGATGTCTTCATTTGTGTGTCTGATCATCTCAAACTCAGCATCTTTCAAATTGAACTTGTAATTTTCCTTCAGTAAATCCTATTGATTCTTTCTCCAAAATAAACTTATATCAATGTTTCTACTTTTTCCCCACTTCTACCCAACTCTTGCTTGAGTTAATAGTATCTTTCCTACTCAGCTTGCCCTGGCCATTTCCCCACCTGACATTGCCTCTTAGCATGACCATCAACTCATTCTCCTTAGACAACCAGAGTCATCTGGTTAAACTGAAAATCAAATCATTTTTGTCTCATATGTAAAACCCTTAATGGCTACTTACTGTGCTATGACCTGACTCCTCTCTATCCTGTGAGCCTTTAGCACCACTCATCCATGTCTCTACTCTTTCTCTCCTTCCCGCACATGGAATAATTGCACTTCCTCATACCCTTGAAGTGGAGATATGCCCATAGTACTTGCTTTGGACAATGAAACATAATGTGAGCAAAGTGATTTGAGAGCCAGTTCATAACAATTAATGCACTTTCCTCTCCTGCTGGAGTGATTAGGGAAACCAGTATTGATATAGTGCTGCCATGAGAAGGAAGCAGCCTGGATGGTTGGTAATATGTGTAGGAGGGCTGCCCTGGAAGTTTGCCCGAATCTACAGTGGAATTTTCATGAATGGAAAAAAAAAACTTCCATTGTGAGATGTGGAGGGTCATTTGTTACTCAGCAAAACATAGTCTATCCTGATTGATACACTGTAGAAAGAAGAGTTATTTGTAGGAATCCTCTTTAAAACAAAAGTAAAGGACACAGTTTTGTTTTGTTTTTTCAGAAAATGGTCTTGTTTTTCATTAGACTATAAAAAAATTAACAACTGGCTCTTATTAGTTTTTCACAAAAGGAATCATAATTAATCCCCAACTTGGAGGGAATTTCAGGGTGGCCTAAGGAGAAGGCACATACATATTTTTGGCAGGTAATGACACTCCTAGTTAACAACTTTCAGTGTGGATGGGCAAGACTGGGTCACCACAAGGAGAAAAGGAAGATGTGGATAAAACTTTATGGAGAGAGGATCTGGCACAAGGAGAAGGCACCTTCGCTGTGTTTAAGTATCATTATTAAAGTTAAACATTAACTAGCTAAGGTACTTTCTTCCCCGTCACCCAAGTAACACCTGCTTCACTTTGTCTTTGGTTTAAAATATACCAGGAAGGAGCTGAGTGATTTAAATTTGGCTGAAAGGGGAGCAGTTTTTGAGGAACACATATTTTCCAAGCATGAACATTTCTTTGTCTTCTTCTCTCAGGCTCCTATTATAATAAATCTTCAAAGATTGGCAGTATTTAATTTGGAGAGAGAGAGGAGACAGATGAATAGAAAAGTAGAAAGAAAGAAAGGGTGGAGGGAAGGGAACAAATCTGTAATGAGACTGGAATGTGCAGTCTCAGTGAGAGCGGAGAGGTGACCAACCCTTCCTAAAGACCCTCTAACAGCAGGTGGCATTGACCCTTATACCCAGGGTCACCATACTTTGGGAGGCTCATGCTGAAAAGGTGTGGTCACTACCAATGAATAGAGTAACTTCTAAGTGAGCTGGCCTCCAGGCATAGCAACCAGAAAAGGACAATTCTCAGAGCTCATCTTTTCCAAAACAGGTGAGAACTCTTCAGAAGTTCCTGAAAGCAAGATCGCCCACGCCTGTTGACACCAAGGCACTGCGAGGCACGCATTGGCTAGGGTCCCCGTTTTCATGTTTCAAAATTCTCTAGTTCTAGGGAGTGAGCAGATATCCTACTGGACTTTCCAGGACTCAGTAGCAGTGTCTTCTTACACAAGCAGAATGGGGCGGCGGTGATCGGACGGCGCTCTTCCCTGCTGAGCTGGGAGCAGGCTGGTCTGGGAAGATCTCTTCTCTTTTGAAGGGCAAGACCACATGGCCACAGTGAAGTTCATTCCCCACAGTCCCTACAATTGACTTGGTCCAGTCCTTGTTCAAAGCTAAGGCCCTAGCGGTGCCTCTGTCTCCCGGGTCCTTTGATGAGGACAGAGAGGGCCTCGAGCTTGACACCTCTGAGCAGAAAGCTTTAGGCTGGGCCATATAAGCCCAGGTTCCGGGCGGCTTGGGAGATCCTGGGGGTTTTCCGCTGGGGAAACGGATAGTGAGCTGGTTTTCCAGACCTGTGTAGGTTCGTTATGGAAGGAGGGCGCTGAGCGCCAGTGTTTAAGCTGGATCCCACTTCCTTTGTTTGGGGGTCTCCCACTTGACCTCCATGCTGGGCTGCCTCTGGGATCATGGTCTCGTGCTGAGTCATCTCACTGTCTTCCAGCAAACCTGGGTCTCCTTCCTGAGGGAGCCTTTGCTCAGACCCCGTGAACTTGTCCTTGTGTTTCACCTGATGGCTGGTTTCCTGGTGGAAGGTTTGGGCCAAACAGTGCACCTCTAGGTGTGTGTGCCATGGAGACTCGGGGGCCCGAAGAGAGCCTTGGTCAGCCTCCTCCAGCATCCCCTCTGCCTCAGGACCCACTTCTTCCAGGGACAGTGAAGGCCTTCTCTCCTTGTTAATCCAAACAGCATTGACCATGGACTCCGCAAGCGTGGGCATGTTCCCTCCTGAGAAAGGAAGGCACCAGCAGGGTCACCACTGGAAGGCACAGGGGTGGCTCCCATTCTGGGGGTCTTAGAGCTTTCAAGCTGAAGGCAGGTCATGCTCAAAACATCAGGGGGACTAGGTACCCAGAACATTGCATGTGGGTATCCATGCATTGGTGGGTACTCACATGGTTCCAGTCGCTCACACGCATGACCTGCCTCCTGAGCCACATGTTCACACCCACACACTCTGTCTCTCTCTAACACACACACACACACACACATGTTCACATACGCTTATTCACACATCCAACAAATGTTTATTAAGCACTTAGAATGTGCCAGGCATCATTTATCCTAGGTCCTAGGTCTATAAGAGTGAACACTGAGACAAAATCCACCCCTTCATGCTGTGTTCTAGCAGAGTAGAAAGAGAACAGCAAATAAATTAGGATAATAAAATTTCAGGTGGTAATCAATGTAATGGAAAAAAATTCAAGCATGATCGAGTCTAGTAACAGACTTTGGTCTTTGACGGCAGTGTGGGAGTGAACCCTAGGGAGAGCTGGGGAACCAACATTTCAGGCTGAAAGCATGAGAAGGAGCAACAGCACGCATGTGCTCACCCACATGTGTGGGTTCACAACACCTGCCCGTGGAAAAGGTAATTCTTCACTTCCAGGGTTTTGTGTCCCGGGATTCTGATAAGGGGTTTACCACCCAAGGCAGAGGTGGGAGGAGCTGTGTTTTGAAGTGGCTCCTTTTGGAGGACTGGCCTTTATCTTTCTCTCCCGTAGACACTGTCCTATGGGATATGACGTTTACAGCATCTGCTGCTCCCCCGCCCCGAAACTGGCTTTAGGGATGAGAAGGCAGACCAAGGCTCTCTTCCTTCTCAGGGACAGCTTTTTACCACTTGGTGGAACGTGATAGTTTCTTGTCAACTCTTGGTGGCAGCGAGAGTTGGAGGAAAGACTGAGAGGCATTTTCCTGTAGAAAGTAGGTCTGTGACCAGCCTGGAATTCCCTCTGAGATGTCAGTGGGGCTCCCTTGAGTGTTTTGACATCTGTCACTGCGGGAGGCCCTGCAGGTGACAGAGTACATGGTGGGAGGGGGTAGATGGTATTGAAGGAATAAAATCAGAAGGAAGCCCCTGAACTCCAGTGCTGGGAAATCCAGAACACCTGTCACCACATTTCTGGAACCTAAATACATTCTGTGACACTAAGACAGGATGGAGAAAGCTAATTTCAGAGGCCTTCCTTCCGCTAATTAGCTCCCAGCATACCTACCCTTCCAGATACAACCCAGTGTTTTGAGACATGAAAATCCAGCTTCAGTCACAGCCAGTCTCAGTGGTCACTGTCTTCCTGGGTCTCTCTGCTGTGCTGGACACAGAGGACCACTGTTTTCTAAATTCCCTCTACCTGCTTGGCTTCCTGGCATAAATACCTCCTCATTTTCTAAGAAAAATTAATTGTGGTGAGACATACACAACATAAAATGTAACCATCTTAGCCATTAAAAAAATTTTTTATGTACTTTTTTTTTAAATGGAGGTACTGAGGATTGAACCAGGACCTCGTGCATGCTAGGCATGTGCTCCACCACAGAGCTATACCCACCTCCCTGTGACTGCCTTATTTCATTTGGCATAATGTCCTCAAGGTTCACCTATGTTCATCCAAGAGTCAGTATGCATCAGAATTTCCTTCCTTTTTCAGGTTAAATAATATTCCCCTGCTGCCCTTCTGACTGCTGTCTTCCCTGAGGTATTTCAGTATTCCAGGACTCTAATTGTCACCCTAGCCTCTTAGCCATATACACATTGACCCTCCACAGTGCCCATGGCTTCAGCTACCACCTATATGTGGATGACCCCAGATCTAGAGCTTCAGCCCAAATTTCTCTCCTGAGATCCAGGTTGGTTGGCAGTTTTACAGACAACTATCTCAGATGCAGCATACTTAAAAACAAATTCAAAAACAAATTCATCTCTCCCTACCAGGAATCTTTTTCTCCTGTATTCCTGATCTCAATCAACGGTACCACCATCTACCCTGTTACTAAGGGTAGTAGGCAGCAAAATTTACTTTTTTGCCCCCAACCATCATTTTCACCTATAATCTGTGATCTTACTCTGATTTCTCCCCGGAGAAGCCCCTTATTCCTCATGTGCAGACCAAGTGCTCCAAGTGTCGTTCCAGCTCAGACTTGTGTGACCTGGTGACTTGGTGGTCCTCAGCTAATCTGCACAGAAAGCTCTGAGGAGCTTTATACGTATTAATTTATTTAATTCCTACCACAACCCTATAATTTGGGGACTACAGTCACTCCCAATTGACAGATGAGGAAACTGAGTCACAGAGTAATTTACATAACTTGTTCAAAGTTGCACAGAGCACGTTAAGTGACGGAGCTGGGGCTCACATTCAGGCTCTTCTCCAGAAACCAAGTTCAGGAATACCCCCTCAGACAGTGCACTCCTTCTCACCATTAGAGCAAGAATGTGGACTGCTAGAAATGCCTGGAACGATCCTGACCAAACCTGGGGGAATCAGAAGCCTTCCCTGGGGATGCAGGCCCTGAGCTCTCCTCCTTGTATTAATCTGCCCTGACTCACTTGCACAGCATCATCACCATGGTGATGATGCAGGAGGAAAGGCCAGCAGTGGGGAGGGTGGAGGCAAGGATTCTAGGGGGCCTGCCGAGTTTGAGATGGCTTTGGGACATGCCCAGCCCGTGGATCTGTGTCTGAATCAGAAGTGTGTTAAATCTGGTTACTAGGGGTGTAAGTGAATGTTCGCTGAGTGACTGGATGGATAAACACCGTTGAGGAGGGGATAGGACTTTAGGAAGCGTTCAGCTTCTGCCCTCCAGGGATAGAGGGATCCCGCTGGTTGGCAACAATCCGAGAAATGAGAGACAGGTGCCTTCAGCCCAGGGCACCACACGTCCCAGCCCAGACAGTGAGGTCCCTCTGGCCCGCATCCCCTCCCAGCCTGGCCTCACGCGAAGTGCGCCACTCAATGAGACTGTATAAATAAGCCAGGAATTCCCAGGGCACAGCCTTGCCCTTTGAGGGGTTCTTCCTACCTCTCTTGACTTGTCCCTCTCTGTTAGAGGATGCAGGGCTGGGATTTGACCATCGCTTGCTTTCTGAGCCCTGGCTCCTGACTTCTTCCTGGAATAAATCTGAGTTCCCAAAAGGAATTGGCTTCTCCCTGGAGGAGGAGCTCCCCTGTCTCAGCGCCCCTTCCTGGCTGCTGTCAGAGGCGTGAGGAGTTCCCTCAGGAAGCCTGGGTGCCACCGGGTGCCTCCTGGCTCCCCGAGCCCTGCACTCCTCTGGCCAGGGCCCAGGCTGTGGGGAATGCCACGTCTTCACTCCCCAGAGCCAGTTTCTCTTGCCTCCTTGAGACCCAGCCAGGAAGCACAGCTCCCATCTCCCCCACCTGGCCTATCAGCGGGGCCAAGCCCGGCTCACAGGGCAAACCAGTCCAGCAAGAAACAACACGTGCTGAGGCACCTGGCTCAGTCAGGGGGGGGGGGTTCTGAGCCCAGCAGAGCTGCCTTGAACCAGGCTCCCTGCTCTTCCCCATCGGGAGGGCCGGCAGAGCCCTGGCCCGGCCCGGCCCGGCCCTGCCCTGCCCGCAGCCCCACCACCCATGCTGCTCGTAGCCAGGCCCTTCCCCCTTCCCTTCTGCTCCCAGCACGTGCCCAGCTGTACCTTTCGGGAGCACCACCAGGTGGGACTGGGCCCTCTGCTGCCGTCTCAAGCCTTCATACTGGGCTCGCAGGAGCTGGATGCTGAGCAGGGGCCCCTTCCCTGGGGCCTGAGTCCTGGAGCTCTCGGCCATGAAGCGAGACCCCGGCTGCCAGAAGTGGGGCAGGGCAGGGCACGGGCAGGGCAACCCCTTCATCCGGATCCGGGAGAAAAGCAAACACTGATGGGAGGGGCTGGGGGGAGGTGGTGGGGCTCAGGGAGAGG